GGCTTTATGGCGCACTTAACTTCGGAGGAAAGTGTCCACCCAGAAAGGGCAACTTCCTTTGGTCTGGGTTTGTACGTGGCTCTGGGTCTTTCAAGGGCTTCTACGGAACCCTCTTTCAGCAAACCCTAAACCCTCAACCCTTAACCCTAACCCCTATGGGCCCTATAATCCTTAAACCCGTTTAAACCCCAATACTAAACCCTAAACCGTAAACCCTAAGCCTTACATCCTAAGCCCTAACCCCTCCCTCTGAAGGGTTGTGGCTCCAGAGGCCGTTATCCTCATGGCTGAAACGCACTACGCCGGCGGTCGGTACGACAAGGTGACGGTTACCAGGGTTTGAGGGCTTTCACGGCTGTTTAGGGTTTGGGATTTGGTGATTTTGGGGTTCGGGGTTTGGCTGGGGTTTGGGTTTTATAGGTTTTTGAGGGGTGTGAGGGGTCTGGGAATATAGGGTTTAGGGTTTGAGTCTTCAGTTTGGGGGTTGGGGTATCTAGGATTCTAGGGCGTCAGGGTTAGGAGGGTTTGGGGCTTAAAGAGAATGAGGTGCTCGGGTGTTTAGGGTTTAGGGTTTAGGGTTTAGGGTTTAGGGTTTAGGGCTAGGGTTTGAGAGTTTGAGGGCTTTTTGTGGCGTTTTATAGCTCTAGGTGTTGGGGGGCGTTCAGGGATTTAGGGTCTCTTAGGGTTTTCAGGTTTTAGGGCTTGAGTATTGAGTGTTTAGGGGTTTTTGGATTTAGGGTCTTGCCAGGAGGGGCCCCTTTACTATACGAACTCTAGTTAAGGGGCTTTTACCTAAGTTAGGCTCCTTATAACCCACTTTAGGGCTCTTATAACTACCCTAAACCCTAAACCCTAAACCCTAAACTCCCTAGGGTTTTGAGGATTCCGGGTGTGTGGCTAGTGCAGTAGGTGTGCCCCGGGGGTACTCCGCGGAGCCCTGAACCCTTAGCTCCTGGATCCCAAAGGCTTTTTATTACTAGGGTTTAGGGTTTAGGGTTTAGGGTCTAGGGTTTAGGGTTTAGGGTCTAGGGCTTAGGGTTTAGGGTTTAGGGTTTTGGGATTGAAGCCATAACTCCCAAGATCCTGAAACCCTACAACTCCTAAACGCATTGAGTCCCCAACACCCTTAAACCCTTAACCTAAACCCTAAAACCTAAACCCTAACCTAAACCCTAAACCCTTAACGAATCCCAAAGGTCTTCTGAGCTTCCCCCCCCCCCCCCCCCCCTACCCGCCCCTAGAAGCCAGGGTTTTTGGTTTTAGGGTTTAGGGTTTCGGCTAGGGTTTAGGGTTTAGGGCTTAGGGCTTAGGGCTTAGGGCTTAGACCTTAGGGTTTGGGTTTAGGGTTTGGGTTTAGGGTTTCAAGCCCTCAGCCCCGGAGCCCGCGTAGGCGGAAGAGACGGTCAAGGAGGGCATTGAGCTGGTGAACCTGTCTTGGAACTTTGATCTTGGGGGCAGGGTTTAGGGCTTGGGGTTTGGGGTTTAGGGTTTGGGGTTTGGGGTTTAGGGTTTAGGTTTTGGCTTTCGGGTTCAGGGTTTAAGGGCTTAGGGTTTAGGGTCAGGGATTAGTTTTAGGATTTGAGGCCTCAGGCTTTTTAGGCTGATTGCTCCTGAAGCCCGAAGTGTTGCAAGTGAGGCTTGGCATGGAGTTTTCTGTAGGTGGTGCTTAGGGACTTGCGTTCGGAGTTTGGGGCTTCTTGGACCCTAAACCCTAAACGCTAAACCCTAAACCCTAAACCCGTGCAGGGTTTGGGGTTTCGGGGTTAGGGTTTAGGGTTTTAGGGCTCAGGGCTTTGAGACGGGCCCCATGGCACCGACGCCTCAAGCACGCAGAGACCTCGGTCGCCCGTCTTGAAACCCTAAACCCCAAGCCGATTGATTAGGATTTGGGTTTAGGATTTCGGGTTTAGGGTTTCGGGTTTAGGGCCACTGGCTCCAGGGTACAGTCCGATCGCAACTCCGGCCCTATACCCTTAGCCCGCCCCCCTTCCCCGCCCCCCACCCCCCCTCCTTCCCCCCGCCCAGCAGGGCTGCCTGGTTTGGGGATGCCCTGCCCTGTGGCAGGGTTCAGGCGAATGTTCGTCGGCCCTGGTTCTGTTTTAGACATGATTTGTCCTGAGGCAAATTACGATCGACAACTCCGTTCTTGTGAGAAATGAACTATGATTAGGGTTTAGGGTTTAGGGTTTAGGGTTTAGGGTTTAGGGTTTCGGGTTGTGGGCTCCAAAGGGTGGGTGGGTAGGTTTTCGATACCAGAGTGACGGGCTTGACTGGTGTGCTTGAACTTGAGATGCTGAACCCTAAACCCTAAACCCGAAACCCTAACCCTGCAAACCCTGCAAACCCTGCAAACCCTGTAAACCCTGTAAACCCTGTAAACCCTGTAAACCCTGTAAACCCCATAAACCCTATAAACCCTATAAACCCTATAAAGCCTATGAACCCTATAAACCCTATAAACCCTATAAACCCCCTAAACCCTAAACCCTTAGCCCTAAACCCTACGCGTTCGGGGGCAGTTCCTACACCCTATAAGCCCGTCTCTCTTCCCCTAAAACGGTCGCCAGGCGGCAGCTTGTGGTGACCAGCGGAAAGAGCAAACCTGCCTGCGTTTACCCTTCGGCCTAGGGTTTTCGGGTTTAGGATTTAGGGTTTAGGGTTTAGGGTTTAGGGTTTAACTCCCTTGTAGGGTTTGTAGGATTCCGGGTGTTTGGCAAGTGCAGTAGGTGTGCCGCGGAGTACCCTCCGCGGAGCCCTGACCCTTAACTCCCGGATCCCAGAGGCTTTTTTTACTCGGGTTCAGGGTTCAGGGTTTAGGGGTTAGGGTTTAGGGTTTAGGTTTTAGGGTTTAGGGTAGCCAATCATAGCACTTTCAACAGGACCTAGGATTTAGGGTTTAGGGTTTAGGGTTTAAGGTTTAGGGTTTAGGGATTGAAGCCATAACTCCCAAGATCCTGAAACCCTACAATTCCTAAACGCATTGAGTCTGCAGGGCTTGAAGGAGCCACAAATTGGGATCAGCACCATAAGCCTTTTGTTTGCTTCATGTGGATGGTTCAGGGTTTAGGGTTTAGGGTTTAGGGCTTAGGGTTTAGGGTTTAGTTAGGTTTAGGGTTTAGGGTTTAGGGTCATATTTTCTTACTACTACTGTAATTCTTATTAAGGTATATGAACCATAAACCCTTTTCGGGCTCAATTCGTCCCCAAGGAAAGTGTCCTCTAAGCCCGAAACGCACAGATCCCAGGGCTCTAGACGTCAAACACCCCTGAAGGCGGCAAGGTTTGCCCTTGCAGTCTCAGAACCCTAAACCCTAAAACCCTAAACCCTAAACCCTAAACCCTAAACCCTAAACCCTAAACCTCTAAGCTCAGAAGCCGAGAAGTATGGCCTTCCGGCCCCTGAACCCCAAATCCCAAAACGCCCGCCCCCGCCCGCCCCCCCCCCCCCCCCCCGGGCCAGGATGGAAGAAGCAGCCCGCATTTTAGCGACATGCTGTTTAGTGTTTGGGGTTTGGGGTTTAGGGTTTAGGGTTTAGGGTTTGGGGTTTAGGGTTTAGGGTTTGGGTTTAGGGGCTCAGGGCTTCCACAAAAAAAGCAAATTCACCCAGCTGCCAGGGCCTATGGCAAGGCGCTGCAGGCGCAGATCGCGCAGAGCCGTCTCCTCAGCTGATGACTGCTTAGGGTCTGGTCTGCAGTTCAGGGTTTAGGGTTTAGGGTTTAGTGTTTAGGGTTTAGGGCTTGGTGGGCTTGGTGGGCTTGCGGTTTAGGGCTCACGGCTTAGAGTTTGGCCTGCAGGGCTTCGGGCTTTTGGTGCGCAGCTGTGTTCCAGACCAAACCCGAAACACCAAACCCCAGCATTTGCGTCATGGCTTGGTGTTGGGTTTATGGAGACCCTAAACCCCCAAACCCCCAAACCCTAAGTACTTGGTGTTGGGTATATGGGGGACCCTACGCAATAAACCCTAAACCCCAAACCCCCAAACCCTACTTAAACCCAAAAACTAAACCTTATCGTGCGACCCGTCGGCAACCCCCAAATCCCGGAGACCAAGGCGTAGGGGTTCTTAGTAGCCCAGTGGTACCCTTCCGCCCTTTCTTTGGTTCAAGGTTCCCTTCTACAAACAAAAAAGGGTACCCTTATTCTGCTATGGTTAACTGGGATACCAAGGGTTTACGGGTTTAGGGTTTTGGGGTTCGGGCCTGGGGTCTCCAGTTTCAAACGGAACTCCTTTTGAGCCTTGAAACCAGACCTTTCCGAAAAGAAGCCCGAAGCCCTACGGCTTTTCAATACCCATAGCTGGGTCATGGTTGAAGATCATTAAGGGGTTCCCTTGAGCTCACCCTGCAGAGCTTCCGGGTTGATTAGGGTGTTTTGGATTTGTTGGGGGTTCAGGGCTTATAGGGTTTAGGGTTTATTTGGTTGGTGGGGTTTGGGGTTCTGGGCTGTCATTACTTTTTTCTTCAGGATTCAGGATTTAGGGTTGCGAGCGTTCAGGGTTTACAGGGTTCATGTAGGGTTTGTATGGTTTGTTTGGTTTGTAGGGTGAAGGATAAAGGCATTTTGGCATGCATGGTTTGCCGCGCTTGTAGGGTTTAGAGTTTACGGTTTCGTGTTTAACGTTTAGGGTAGGGAGGTAGGTTTGGGCAACATGGGGACGCGGACGGGTTGCTGTAGTCAAGGGACTGTAAACCTAATAAGTTGCAATACCTATCACGAACTCGGGAGCACTCAAGGGAGTTGGGGCCTTGGGGATCAGAGTAATGGGGTTTAGGGCTGCAGGGTCTTTGCTGTGCTCGACTCGCCATCGGCATAAGGTCTATCCCGGGAGCCCACATTTCTCGCACAGAGCTTTCCTGTGGAGCGTAGCTGTTTTCTGTTGGCATTTTGGACAGCCCGCTCAGCTCCGGAAGGACCAGCAAGTCATGAACAACAACTCTCGGAGAGGTTTGGGGTCCTAATTTTCAAGAGCTCTGGCGTAGCATAGTCTGCGTCGATCACCATGGCCTCGAGCTCAGCCTTGTGGATCGCGCTTCTTGCGACGCTCATTTCACGTTGGGCCTGTACACTCAGCTTTGGGGCCCCAGCGAGGCAACAGCCTATCAGCGTTGTCAGGGAAAGTGCCGGGCTGAGTATCAGCCAGCAAGCTCCGAAAGGGACTTTCGAGCTGTCTGGCAAGGAGAAGCGGCTCGCGAGCAGGCTTGCAGAGCTGGGTAAGAAGGGCGACTGGCAAAGCGCCCGTCAACTCTATGCAAGCTACCAGGGTTCGGCCGTCCCAGTGCTCACCGCAGCCATGCAGGCAGCTTACCGGTGCGCACGGTACAAGGAAGCTGCCGGAATATATAAGCAACTGCGGAGATCGGGTGCCATCGTGGACAAGGTCACGTTACTTGTGGGCTTGAAGATATTTGGAAAAATGCAAGATCCTGTCATGGTTGACACGGTATGGGCTGAGGTTACAGAACGCGGGTTTGTTGACGAACTCCGATGTGGTGCCTGCATTGATGCAGCAGCTTACATGGGGGATGTCGAGCAGGCGGCAGCTGTGCTAGATGTCATGCTTACCCGGAAGATTGGGGCAGACGTGTACGCGTTTAACTCAGCCATCTTTGCTTGTGCCAAGGCAAAACGGCCTAGCCACAATGCAGCCATGTACCTGTTCAAATCCTTGCTGGACAACGGCTTTTCGCCGACGATCGTGACCTTCACCAACTTGGCACGCGCACACGTGAAGGCAAGCCTTGAGCAGATCCAGCATGTTCGTGCCAGTATGAAAGAGTACGGTATCCCTTTCGATCAAGTTTTCGCTGAGTCGTATTTGAATGCCTTGGTTCAGGGACGTCGTCTGGTCTCTGCTCGAACCATGCAACCCATCACCGCGACACTTGCAGATTTGCCTGAGCGTGAAGGAAGGTTGAAAGAAGCTCAGAGTGCGCTGCTCGAGATCCAAGCCGACAACGTGGAGTTGACTGCGCTATGTCAAAGATTCCTAAAGTATGCGCAGCAAGCAGGCCTGTGACTCAGTGATTGGGTTTCTTCGTGGTGAACGAGGTCAGCCTGCTTGTGGGCATGAAGATTCTTGGAAAATTGTAAGATCCTGTCATGGTTGACGCGATATGGGCTGAGGTGTCAAAACGCGCATGGGTTGATAGATTCAACTGTGGTGCCCGCATTGATGCGGCAGCCTACATGGGCGACGTCGAAGGGGCAGCGAATGAGACATTCTGCTTACACGGCCGATTGAGCTTGACGTGTACAAGTTCAATTCTGCCAGTTTTGCTTGTGCCAATGCAGAGCGACCGAGCCACAACGCAGCCATGTACCTGTTCAAAACAATGTTGAACTACGACATAACACCTACGATCGTGACCTTCGCCAACTTGGCACAAGCACACGTGAAGGCAAGCCTTGAGCAGATCCAGCGCATCCGTGCCGACATGAAGGAATACGATGTCCCTTCCCATGAAGTTTTCGCTGAGTCGTACTTGATGCAGACATGCCTGAGCGTGAGAAACGATTGCGAGAAGCTCAGAGCGCACTGTGTCAGAAAATCCAAAAGTATGTGAAGAAAGCGGTCTTGCGATCGGTATGCTTGCTTGTTCTGGACGGTGTGCGCTGCCAGCTTCAGCAGCATGTCCAAAAGGCCGCAGCCCTGATCCCTAAATCCTTAGCCACTAAACCCTAGTTAAACCCTTAAGCTCCAATTTCCCTTGCAGAATGTCTCACAAGGCCCTCAGGATCCCTCCAGGGAACCGCTTCCCTGAACCCTAATGCTTCAGGGCTTAGGTTTATGGATGTTTTTGGTTTAGGGTTTAGGAGTGCGGGTTTAGTGCAGATAAGCCAAATCCTCCGAGATCAACAAGCCCTCCAAGACCCCTCATACGCCTTCCCGGATAAGCCAAAAGCCCTAAACCCTAAACCCTCAACCCTAAACCCAAGGATGAGCAGAACTCCACCTACGATGAGGGCGCATTACGCTCCGGGTGTAGTTTAGGTGTCGGGTGGAGTACCATAATCCCCCAATGAATTCTATTTTTTTCGTTGGTATGAGACCCATCGAAATACTGAAAGCATGGATTACATATGTTCATTATGGGTCAAATGGAGTATAGAGTAGGGGTCGATCCTGACTGTCCAGAGGCGCCCCTGAGGTCGAACGACTAGGCTGTAGGGTTTAGTTCTTTCAGGACTTGGAGCTTATAAGGTTCAATGTTTAGGCTCATGACCCTAAACCCTAAACCCTAAACCCGCACACAACTTTTGGATGGCTTAGTCTTTTAGGGGCTTGGCGGTTTGTGCAAAATGCCACCAAGCGTGCCTAGGATGCCCAGTCGTGCCCTTATTCCCTTTTTGGGGGGGCTTCCGTTCCCTTGTAAACCCCGTTAAGCAAAAAAGGGGCACCCTTTTAAATCCTAGGTTACTGGGCAACCTAGGTGCTGTCCTTTGAGCTGTGAAGCCACGTGCAGGCTGATCCCGTATCCCGCATCGCGCGCATGGAGGCTTTAGATGCTTCATCCAAAGTACGCCCCCACTGCCTTGCCTCGATCTTAGGGGTTCTTGGGAACTATAATTCCCAAAAAACACCTAAAGTTTTAATTCTAGCTAGGAGCTCCAAAATCAGTCTAGCAATGCAGCCGGGCAGGTTTGAAACTTAGCTTGGTAGCCCAGTGATACCCTTTACCCTTTTTTTTGGTTATGGGTTCCCTTAAAAAATATTCAACCCAAAAAAGAGTGCCCTTATTCGAATATGGTTACTGGGCTGCCAAGTTAGGAGGGGGCTGGGAGCAGCCGGGGGAGCAAGTCCGCCGCCCTCACAAATTGAAAGCACCCGATCAAGACCTAATCCCCTAAACCTCGAAAAGGTCCCTAAATGTCCCGAGATTCCCTGTATGACAACCATAGCGCCCCCGAAAAACCTAAACTCCCTAAACCCCCTAAACCCGAAACCCGAAACCCGAAACCCGAAACGCGAAACCCGAAACCCTAGCCCTAAACCCTAAAACCCCTAAAAACCCCGACAAACCCCCTAAACCACTGAACTCCAACCTCTAAATTCCTGAGGCAAAGAGGCCCAAGCAGCGGCGAAGGCGCCGAAGATGGTCGGGCCCCAAGACGGCATTGCATGAGCTCTGAAGGTTCTAGGGTTTAGCAGGTTTAGTAGGTCTACATGGTATGTTTAGTAGGTTTAGTAGGGTTAGGTAGATTTTAGTTTTAGTAGGTTTAGTAGGTTATAGTAGGTTATAGTAGGTTATAGTAGGTTTAGTAGTTTTAGTAGGTTTCGTAGGTTTAGTAGGCGTTGATTGGAGGGGGGGGGGGGTATGGTGTATTCGCCCTTATGCCAGCAGTCCTTATTAGGGGTTATCGTACCGCCGATTAGAACCCCTACTAAGGACTGTCAGTATAAGAGGGAAAACTCCCAAGGTGCCCTTATCTGGCTTCTATAAGCAACCACAGGCGGTTTCATCCTCATTGAAAATTCTCATGGCAGTTTCTCTTGGAAGTATGCGGCCTGTGAAGAAAGTCCTTCTCAAAATGGAATTGTGTGGATTGTGGCATAGGCTCCTTCAACCCCTTATAGGGTTTAGGGTTTGGGGTTTAGGGTTTAGGGTTTAGGGTACACCCTCAAACCTCAACCCTGCACACTGGCTAAGCTCTATGCGCCCCAAATCCTTAAACCTCCTAACCCTAAATAAGCCCTGCATACCCAAACTGCCCTAAGAAGCCAAAAAGTGAGCCGCTTTGCTCCTAGGAACTTGGGGAACGCCCCGAACCCCCTGAACCCCCTAAACCCGCTGCGCGCTAACGGCTCGAGCCCCTAAACCCCCGAAACCCTCGAAACCCCCTAAACCCTAAACCCTAAAGCCCACACGCCATACACTAGATAATATCTAGCAAGCCCCAAACCCTAAACCCTAAACCCTAGACCCCAAATCCTAAACCCTAAACCCTAAACCCCCCTAAACCCCATTCCTGGGTCCTGGAAAGGTGCCCATGCAGGGCATGATCGCACCGCAGGCCGCGAACTGGAGGGTTGAAGGGTCGGAAGTTCAGGGTTTAGGGTTTAGGGTTTAGGGTTTAGGGTTTAGGGTTTAGGGTTTAGGGTTTAGGGTTTAGGGTTAAGGGTGCAGGGTTTAGGGTTTAGGAAGATAAGCCTCAAGATTGAAGGTTCAGGGTTCGGGGTTCAGGGTTGGGCTTTTTGCTTTGTTGAATTTCAGGGTTGAGAATGTATAAGGAGGGCCCCCACCCTAAAGCCCCTAAAACCCCTCAAGGTTAGTATGTTAGGGCTTAGAGGCGTATCACCTAAGATAGGATCCTCATACCCCAATACAGGTCCTTACAACTCTGACTATAACTAGGGGGGCCCTCCTTGTAACAAGTAAGCACGCTAAACCCTAAACCCTAAACCCTAAACCCTAAACCGTGAACCCTAAACCCTAAACCCGAAACCCCAAACCCCAAACCCCAAACCCCAAACCCTAAACCCTAAACCCTAAACCCTAAACCCTAAACCCTAAACCCTAAACCCTAAACCCTAAACCCTAAACCCTTTTCATTCCTTATAAAACCGCATGATTGTAATTCACTACGTAATAATAGTATTATAGTACGCGCCCCTATAAAATACTTGTTGGGCGCACTCATAATATTATAACCGGGCGAATGAAAGAACGTAACGCCCGTAATAATGTGTTCTCTTCGTTCACATCGTTCACACAATTCATGCACTAGTTTATAATTGTGCTCACGTGTTCACTTCGTTCGTCTCCCGGTAATCGAGGGTGGTTAGAAAGTAACATAAGATGTAGGCTTCCTTGCGCAGGCCGGCGCCGCGCCAGGCGAGGCCGCGCCACAGGCAGCGGCCGTCAGCGTAGAGACGAAGCAGGCGAAGGGGAATGGGGGGGGGGGGGGGGGGGGGGGGTGTAGGGTTTAGGGTTTAGGGTTTAGGGTTTAGGGTTAGGGTTTAGGGTTTGGGCTTTACAAGGTTTAGGGTTTAGGCTTTGCAAGGATTAGGGTTTAGGCTTTGCAAGGTTTAGGGTTCGCAGGGTGTCGGGTTTAGGGTACTTACAGGATTCAAGGGGAATATACTTGGAGGTTCATGTAGGGTTTAGGGTAATTTTAAGGTGGGTTTGAAGTAAGGTTAAAGTTCTATTTACCCATACTGATAGTATGAACCTCCAAGTATAGGGTCAAGGGTGCATATGGGGGGTTAAGGTTTTGGGGCTGGGGGTTTGGGGGGCACAGGGGTTTCTGGTCGCGGGTTAGGGTTGCGGGTTCGGGTCGCAACGTTCCGGTTTAGGGCTCCCCCTCAACCCTAAACCCTAAACCCTAGACCGCCTAGACCTTAAACCCCAAACCCTAAACCCTAAACCTCTGTAAATGTTCAGAGGTTAGCCTCAACCCCAAAACCCCAAAACCCTACACCCTAAGCCCTAAACCCTAAACCCTAAACCATGGATCCCCGAGCATAAGCCGAGCCTTACTTGTCGAAAAGGTGGGTCTCGATGCCGCCATGGTGCAAAGCACCGTCCAGGAGCATGGCCCAAGTTGGTCGTTTCTTTCGGTTTAGGGTTTAGGGTTTAGGGTTTGGGGTTTGGGGTTTAGGGTTTAGGTTTAGGGTTTAGGGTTTAGGGTTTAGGGTTTAGGGTTTAGGGTTTAGGGTTTAGGGTTTAGGGTTTAGGGTTTAGGGTTTAGGGTTTAGGGTTTAGGGTTGGGGAGGCGGGGGAGGGGGCATGTGTTGAAACCGGGACCCCGGATTTAGGGCTTCGAGCTCAGAATTTTGAATTCTGTACCTTGATTTCTCTGTGGCACTATGTTCATTCCTCCAAGGGTTTAGGGATCCCTCAAAGGGTCATGTAGAGGAATTCAGGGTTTAGAGTTTAGGGATCAGGGTTGAGGATCCCCTAAGGGGCTATATGCGGGATTTTAGGTACCTGCTTCCTGATTCCCAAACTCCCGACGAAGAGCTTGTAAGCATGTGCTCTACAAGGTTCCCACCCTTTTGAGGCTTAGGACCGTAGC